GTTCTTGTCCTTAACTCACTGTCACAAGGAGACACACTCAAGGGCCACACAACAGCAGAACAGACCTGAAGCCAATCTAAACCATGCTACGAACTGAATTCAGCCCACTCCATCCACCCTGGACCCTCAAGCCTTACACTACACCATGTAGTGGTAAATCTGTCAAGGGGATTATATGCATCTTGAGCTGTTAACTCCAGCTTTCTCAATCTAGAGGGTTAGCATTCAATTTAAGAAAGCTATATGGTGTTTGTAGGGGGTAGCAATTTCATTTTGGTAACAGGTACAATTGCTTCTCAGCCTTTTGGCTAAGATCAAGTGTGGCAACAGGTACACAATCTGGCTCAGGCTCATGGAGCCATGGATGAGCAAAAATCCTCAGCAGATGGCAAATTAACTTTTGCCAGCCTCAATACAAATGCCCTTTATCCCACTCACTCTCTGCCACACATACCTAACTTGTCAGGACTTTGCTGGAAAGGTCAAGCAGCCAGTCTGTCCAAGAACATAATGACTGGTTTACTGTTCCCTTGGTTCACCAGCCCTGAACAACTGGTGTGTGGGCTGGACTGCGCTGGAATACACAGTATTTGCTACTGCGCTAATTGGATGGCTAGAAGAAAAAAGGAATACACATTTTAACATGGCAATTTGGAGTCATTTTTACATTGCACCACATACATCTTAGCTAACTTTTTTTTTTTTTTTTTTTTTTTGTACCAGGGTTCAAACTCAGGCCCTTGCGCTTGCCAGGCAGGCACTTAAGCCGCTGAGCTATCTCCCCAGCCCCATGTTAGTTAACTACTAGAATTAGTACTTTTCTAGGGATGTAACTCAGTGCTAAGGCCCTGGGTTCAATGCCTGACACAAATAAACTAAGTACTGCACTTGGTCACATCTTAATGTTGGAGAACTGGTTGTCTGGGATACAAGAATGATTATGGAATTAGCACATTGATGTTACAAATTATCACAATTGTTAGAATTTGCTTTGACCCCATTGGTGGCTTTGTCGCTCTCGTGGTACCCAGACATGTTCACTTTTGATCACATTGATGGAAGGCCTTGGAAGAGCAGGGTTCCACCCCAATAGCAGGATGGCTTGTTGTCCTGTCCAATACCTAGACTTTAAAATCCTTCATGCAGTGCAAGATGCTTTCTGAACATTTTCACTGAGATTGTTGCCACAGATTCATTTCCAGTATTCTGTGTCTCGTACCTTTGCATTCTTATAAACATTGGCTCAACAATGTTGAGTTTATCTGGGTGATAATGCAAGTTTTTTTATTACAAAATTTAACTGAGCTGTTTAACATATATACTTCACATAACAATCTTATAGTAATTCTCATACATAATACGCTTACCTGTCGTTGAAATTCAGGTACTTGCAGTACATCCAAATGCCAAGTCTGTACAAGCTATTGATGCAGTCATGCCGATCAGATGGGTTGGCAGCAATCTTTGTGATTACAATTATTAATCAGGCATATTTTGGGGCATCTCAAAATTTCAGTTTTAGATTGAGATTGAAGGCCTCTGTTGTCTTTTTTCTCACTCTTCTGGAGCTCACACGCTCGTGAAGACAAGGTTTTCCTAATGTTATATTCCTTTGTGCTGTCTTAAGTTTACATCTCAGAAACATTCTTTGGCGTCTTCTACTAGTGTTTGCTGAATGCTTATTACACTACAGCCAAGCTGTTTCGGGGGGCTACTCCTCACAATGTAGTTAAGCATTCTGGTCCCTCTGTGATGGTGAACCTTTCAGTGAAACCAACAGCACACTGTGGCACACAGGCATAGGTTCACCACGACTACCGTTTCATAGGTAAGGACACCAAAATCGGAGGGGAAATGTTGTACTCCAGGCTGATGTGGACTTAAGCCCCTGCATCTTGAGCCCACTGCCCCCTAAAGTCATCCCTGCAGTCAAACTAACCCCATCTATATGGCCAAATGAGCTGTAGGTATTTCTCTAAAGAGAAATTTGGCACTAGCACTTCATATTTTACCTTTTTTTGGAAGAAGCTTGCTTTAATGTTTTTCCATATACTCAAACACAAAACATTCCTTCTCTGTCCTCGTACAATTTCCAGCTTTCTGCTCCTAAACTCATGTGCATTTGGAGTGACACACTAGTCTTTGGGTCTGCTTCAAGTCACGTTTTCTCTACAAATTGTCCCAACACTTTTGTTTCTCTAGCAGCTTGTTCCTCTAATGGCATTTTTGCCCTTCTAGGGTGTCATGACACTCGCCTTACTCTCGTTTACCAACTGATCTTAGACCTTTACTTCCCAGCAAGTTTTCCCTTGCAAACTCCTATCCAGCCTAAAATGGGAGCCAGGTAGTTTTTCCTTCACCCAAATCCTGCACCTTCTTTTTCACTCTACAATATGTTCTTAGTCTGCATTCTGTATTTATGTTATGTGGCTAGAGAAGTATCTAGTATCTAGGCTTAAGGACTTAAAAAACAAGGAGTGTTAGCCTTTGTTGTCTATTACAGCTAGAGATGGCTGACCCTCACAGTGGATTCCAAACCACAGAACTGGATGGAAAGTTTTTTTTTTTTTTTTGGTGGAACTGGGGATTGAACTCAGGCCCTTGTGCTTGTCTGGGAAGCACTTATTCCACTGAGCCATCTCCCTGGCACCTTGGATGGAAAGTTTTCAACTACACATCAGAGACAATTAGGCCACCTAGGTCAGCTATTTTTTTGTCTTTTTGAGACAGGATCTCGCGATGCAGTTCAGGCTGGCCTTGAGCTCTTTGTAGCCCAGGCTGGTCTTGAACTTGCAATGATGCTCCTGCCTCAGCCAGTTAACGTGTTTTATAATGGTGCAATCCTAAAATCAGTAATAGCTTAAGGACATGACTTAAAGGAACTGGGGATGTGGTGCAATGGTAGAGCTCTGGCCTTACAGTGTGAGCCCTCGGTTCATTCCCACCTGATGATACCTAGTGTTCTATATATAGTAAGTGCTCAAGAATGTTAAGTCATCTATACATAGCTCAGTACCAGGGTAAAAGAGGCCTATGAACAGAGTAGGTGCCACTTAGAACGCAGATGTGATATCAAACAGGAAACTAAGGTGGAAGGCAACATGTGAACAAGTCAAGAATTCCCCATAGCATATCATGACGCAAGATTTAGAACAGGAGACAGTGACTATTGTCTGTTCTACAGGTAAGGACACTGTGGCCCACTACTTAACTCGCTCAAAAACACACAGCCTAGAAAGCTGCCAGAACTCTGATAACTGTAACCATGTGCTTATAAAAGCACACAGAAGCTGGGTGTGGTAGTGTATACCCTCAAGGAGGAGGTTTGAGGTAAGCCTGGGCACCTTAGCAAACTTGTCTCAAAACTTAAAAAAGGGCTAGTGCTCTATATAGCTCAGTAGTACAGATAAACAAGTATTGTAATACAAATTCCAGGGTCTCCCAAAAACCTTATGTCCTAAAACCAGACTGACTTTGCTCTCAATTATTTCTCCTCTTTGTAATAATTTTAGGCTACCATTTTTTTTTTTTTTTTTTTTTTTTTACCATTCTCTTAAGGATGGTAAATCTCAAGCAGGGCAGTCCAATTTTAGCCTTACAGCCTTTTGAAATCAAAGAAGTGACTATAATTCAGTGCTCAAGGCAGTATTATGTATTCACCCCGGAAAGCAGGAAGGTGTGGGTTCTAACTTCTCTCATTAACACAACAGCAGCGCAGGCCAGGTGCCTTAGGGTGGGTGGTCAGAGCAGAGGTGGGGCAGAGTGCAACTCACCACACACAACCCATTCCTCACCAGGTCATCTTCCCCCACAAAGGAAGCCAGTTTGCAAGGAGCAAAGTACTTTTCAAGTGGGTTTTAGCACAACTTGAGAAAATAATGTACATTCGAACATTGGTGAAAATAAAACATGACAACATTCCTTAAGAATTAGGGAAGGACAACAGCTGGGGAGGTTGCACACCTGTCATCTTCACCCTCTGTGAAGCCATGTAACTCCCAGGGAATGGAGCAACACAGCTGTTTTGAAATTAAAACAACTTCCTAGCACTTGGGAAGGCAGGAGGGTTACCATGATTTCAAGGTCAGCTTGGGCTACATAAGTGTTCAAGGCTAGCCTGTATTACATGGTGTGACCTCGTTTAAAAACAACAAAAAAAATAGAAATACAAAAAAAAAAAGTGATGTGTCTTGGTGTGGAGGCCCCAAGTTCAATCTTTAATAATAGCAGGGAAAGAGATCAAAGAACTGTACATGTAAAAAAATACAGGGGCTGGTGAGATGGCTCAGTGGTCTAAAGCACCTACTTAGAACAAGCTAAGCTCAAGCACAGCAGAGACCTCGGTTCAATCCCCCAGCACCACATGCTGGCCAGCCCGCCCCCTGGTGGGCTAAGCTGGCCACACACTAAATAAATAAATAAGTAAATAAATAAATAAATAAATATTAAAAAAAATAAAAAAATACATAACTGAGTCTGAATAAAGTGGCTTTTTTTAAAAAAAAAATTTGTGTGTGGCCAGCTCAGCCCACCAGGGGGCGGGGCTGGCTGGCATGTGGTGCTGGAGGATTGAACCGCGGTCCCTGTGCTTTGCTAAGCTTGTTCTAAGTAGGTGCCCCAGACCACTGAGCCGTCTCACCAGCCCTAAAGTGGCTTTTTAAAGTTTAAGTGAACCCAAACAGTAGAAAAATGATAGACACAGACTAAGCCACATCTCCCCAAGTAGTTCATGGATCTTGAGAAATTTAGTTATGCTGTGTGTGGTAGTGCACACTTGTAATCCTAGCACTTGGGAGGTTGAGGCAAAAGGATGAGGAGTCCAAAGCCAGCCAGAATTGCCGTGAGACCCTGCATCAAAAAGAGGAGGCAGGGAGGTAAGAGGGGAGGAGTGGGAAAGAAAACTAGTTATACACAGGTGAGAAGTCGGAGAACATAAGCATCTGTATTGCAACACACTTTCAGAAAGATTAATTTGAAGGAAGACAAATCCAAGATGAAACTGTGGTTTCCAGAGCAATTTATTCATTAAAATCTATTCAATATGCCATCAACAGTTTTCCTTTGGGTATTGTGCTGATAAATAGACAATGAGAAGATTTAACAAGTTTGTCATTTAATAAGTCTGAATTTTCACCACATGGTATTGTACACGGTCATCTGTTGAAACATTTTTTTTTTTTTAAACAGATCTTAGTTTAAAAAAGTCATAGATACTGTAAGTTCTGTATAAACTGGTGGACAGCAAGTTAAGTTCCTTTGTTTTGACTTATAAGCCTCAGCTTCACCGCAGAATAAAGAATGTAGGCCAAAGAAAGTATAATCGGTCACTCATATAGAACAGTATTGTTTCTATAATTTGAAGCTTTCTGAATGGACGGGTTCAGGCCTGGTCCAACTGTAAAAAGATTACTTAATGAATTAGATTATATGGAAATTGTACAAAATGTTATTAACTTTACTCATGATAGCTTAAATAGCACTATATTACTACTTGCTATTCGAAATAAAAAACATGTTTTTGAATCCCCAAGGAGCTGGCATGTGTACGCAGCCAGGCCGCCCTGCACTTAAGGAGTGTTAATACATATTCCAACAGAAACTTTGGCTTTAGGAAGTCACATTTAAAAGAATGGCTTTAATCATCATTTTAAGTATACCACAGGTAGGGCAAAGTGTGCTTTAATTAAATGTATATCATACCAGTGATTCTGGCAAGGTTGAAGATTACATCTACTGTTGACGGCTATAAAAACTAGTTTGTACATGACAAGACAATGAGAAGAAAAAGCAATCCCTTTGAAACAAAATTTTAAAATAAAAAATGTTCACAGTGGTTTGTATCAACAGTATGCATATTATGACAATAACATGTACAGATTCAGAGCACCCTAGGGCTCTCTTTATATTCTAAAGAAAACAAGCATTTACATTATTCATGGGTTGTACTGAATTTAAAAAAGATCACTTGTACACTTACCCTCCCCCCACTGCCCCCAGACAGGATAAACTGTCTCGGGGTGTAGTTTAAACACCATCATTAAAGTTGTCTGCAAAAGGAACAAGGAATTAAAAACAATACTTTTCCTTGGGATTGGAGTCTTTCATTTGCTGTTATAACCAGCAAATGCCATTCATGAAAACAAAAACAAAAGGAGGGGCCACCACAAACACATCTATCTGAGCAAGCCGACCAGTACACATTACAGCTTTAAAAATGAAGGTTATATACTATATGTTACAAGTCCCAACTAGGCAGTGTCAAAATGACATCTATTTCTTTGCTTGCTTTGTGATCATACCCCTTGGAGGTGTTACAGGTCTTGTGGCATTAGGCTTCTTTTTCTCTGCAGGTTTTAAAATCTGAGAAAATTAAAAAGACAAATGAGTTTTAGGAAATACACTCAACCCAAAATGTTAAAAAGTTTTAAAATCTCATTCACATCTCTTGTCTAGAAAGGTTTTTGCCTGTTTAAATTTCCCAACAACTTTGCCTCACAGTGTAGTAACAAAAATAAAGCTGATGTGAAAACATTTTGATAATGCCATGCTGAACAGATAAAATATATGATCTGGAGAAATTATCTTTCCTCAGGGTGAAACAACTTTCAGTCCACAGTATCTCTAGCTACCACTTTTGATGCAAATTTTTTACAACAGTGTTTCTCAAATCCCCATATAATCTACAAATTCTCCCTAGAATATGGTAAAATAATGTTTTTTGTTCATTTAACGGATTAAAAATTTCACAAAATTTCAGCAGCTATATTTATGTTTGTTGGGATAAAGTTGGTCAAGCTTATCCTAAGCAGCAGATGAATGTTTGCTCTAGCAGCACATACACCAAAACTGGAATGATACAAAGATTAGCATGGCCTCTGCACAGTGATGACACACAAATTCATGAAGTGTTTAATATTCTGAAGATAACAATATACAATGTAACCACTATTAATTTCCTATGACCTTGCTTTGAAATCTTAGTTTTTTAAAATTTTTATTCTCTTTAAAATGAATAAAAAAGACACAAACAGATGAAACAAAGATGCCAGAAGACACTCTTAATGTCTAAGTGTTTTTGTGCTGAGTGGGAGGCCAAATGACATCATGAACTTGAACAAGATTTTGTAGAAATTAGACCACGGGAAAGTGGGTAGAACTAAGTAACCACACAGCACATCTGGCAAACTACTATTTTCACACACAAGCAGTTTTTTTTAAACAAACATTATACTGACAGTCTAAAGAGCTGACAGAGGCTGGCCAAATAGCACAATGGATTAAAGTGCCGGGGGTTTAACCCCTGTGGCTGCAATGCCAGCCTGTCCTGGGGCACGCTGAGACAGCAATTGAGACTGGGTGTGGTGGCACGCACCTGGAATCCCAGCTCTTGGGAGGCTATAAACAGGCGGATCATTAGGAGTCCCATCTAGTGAGACTCTGAACACCCTTCTAGACCCCCTTCCCTAAAAAACAAAAGAGCTGATAGTTTAAAAAAACATCTTTTACCTATTTAAAATCCAAAACCAGTTAAATTCAACACTGGGAGAAAGGTTCTATCACAATTTCCCCCCTGTAACACATTACTGAACGAACACAAACACTGGTTACAGGGCAAAAAAATTTAGCCTACTTAATTTAACATAAATGAACGGTAATAGAAGGATCACATGACAATTATTTTTCAAGTCAACAACTCAAACTAATAGGAAATGATGTTGAAGACATGCTCTACCTGAAAGGAGCACATTAATGTTTCATCCACACTCATCATGGCACCTGCATTGTCAAATTCTCCACAGTAATTGGGTGCAGAAAACAGAGTAACCAACTGTCTCTTTGCAAAAAATTCATATCCATCTTCAACCACCTTGGAAAGAATATTTTTTCAGTGTAAGTAGATGCAAACTTTAGGTGAGTAAAACCACTCTTGTTTCCCACTGAGCCTGACAGGGTGTTTCCAGAGACACCGTATAAATAAGCAATACCTACCCACCAAAATCAACAAGGAGAATCTGTGCTCACCCACATGCTCTTAAGTGTACATGTAAAATTCAAAATCAATACCTGATGGGCTCTACATATAAGATCCAAATCATGCTTATGGAGAAATTTTGCAACCACTTCTGCACCAAATGTGAAGGACACTCCTCTGTCATTTTCACCCCAGCCTAAGACATCTTTATCGGGGTCAGACCACAAAAGATCACAAAGAAGACCTTGATCTGGTACATCAGTTGGTCGCATAATTCGCCGAATCTGCTCCATAGATTGAAGATCTGGTGATAAACCTATTAAATGAGAAAAAACAAAGCAAAACTGTTTTTAAAAGATGTTACCACTTTAATAGTTCTATTTGCTTACCGACATTAATTCTGATAAAGCCCAAATTAAATTTATGCTTTCTTAGTTAAAAATACTCAACCAAATATGCCTTGGAATTTATATGTGTGAACTTGCAGGATACATGTTTTTAACAGTACACATAGTTACCTTAATGTATAGTCCTGTAAAATTAAAATCCAGAGACTTTAAAAACTACTCCTTCAGCTAGGAATTATGGTACATGCCTGCAATCTCAACATTTGGGATGCAGAGGCAAGAGGATAGCTAGCTGTGAGTTCAAGGCCAGCCTGAGCTACATAAGCAAGTTCAAGGCAATCCTATATTGTAATAGTGAGATCCTGTTTCAAAAAAACCCAAACCAGGGGCTGGTGAGATGGCTCAGAGGTCTAAAGCACCTACTTAGAACAAGCTTAGCAAAGCAGAGGGACCACAGTTCAATCCCCCAACACCACATGCCAGCCAGCCCTGCCCCCTGGTGGGCTGAGCTGGCGCCACACACACACACACTCACTCACTCACTCTAAAAAAAAACCAAAACAAAACAAAACAAAAAAACCCCAAACCAACAACAAACACTATCTCTCTGGATATTTCCTTTGTTGAGAATAAAAAAAGCATCTCATCTGTAACTATCAAAATCATGCAAGGAGGGCAAACAAGAATGCTGTCACTAAAATGTTATTAACAATATATTAACGTTGCCAGGTGTTGTGATACACACTTGTAATCCCAGCACTTGGGAGGCTGAGGCAGGAGAAGTTCTGCAAGTTCCAGGACAGCCTGGGCTCCAAAATGAGTTCCAGGCCAGCCTGAAATGTATAATGAAACCCTGTCTCAAAAATAAATAAATTAAAAATAAAATTACAATGATTCCTTGATAGCTGTTTCTATCTATTTATCTATTTATTTATTTATTGGAACTGGGGATTGAACTCAGGCCCTTGCACCTGCCAAGGAAGCGCTTATTCCACTGAGCCATCTCCCCAGCCCCTTCGTTTTTTAAAAAAGCAAAGTTTACTTGAAAAAGTGAGGGTAGCTGGGTGTGGTGGCACAAGCCTGTAATCCCAGCCCTGGGGAGGCTGAGGTAGGAGGGTTGCTGCGAGTTCTCAAAGCTAGCCAGAACCACACACCCAGAATGTATCAGAAACAGAAAGTGAGATGGGAGGGGAGGGGAGGGGGAAGGGGGGGAATTGAAAAGACAAGAAACGAAATGGTGTCTCTCAGGCTTTCATAGAGAGCACATTGGCCAAGCAATGGCTGTGACTCATCCACATG